AACTCTTCCATTGAATAAATCTACCAGAAGTGGTAGATTAAGTCTTCTATTAAATCTACCAATCCTAGCCCTGACAGTTTATGACTTGAGAAAGAAAGTTTGAAACTTTGAGACTCTGAAATCTATTAGCGGTTTACCATGACGCACTTCTAATATGCTCATTACAAAAACTTCACCCCGGAATGAGTGATTTTAATGAACTTGACTCCCGACACACGGCACTACTCGCTGCTGATTCGTGACCATACTACAGAACGATCACCAGAACTGCGCCCCGCGTCCCCTGAATATCAATGAATGAATGAAGACCTTTATTGTACATTTTGCCACACTGGGCTAAAGACAGGTCACATATTGACAAAGTACATCATCAATGTTGATAATAAAACGGCTATAGTACACAAGTACTTTCAACTTCCTCTCGCTTTCTGGTAATCTTATAAATGTAGTTGGCTGTATGAGTAGTTAGAGCTGGTTTGTTAAAGACTACAAGGAATATAAATTTCTCTATACTATTCAAATACTTAAATTGGGAGTATTTGCTTGACACAAAATCGAAAAGAACGTTTCTTTCGCTGTCATACATGGAACAATCCACAATAAAATGTACCTCGTCTGCTACTTTACCTAAAATGAACGCTCCGCGCCGTGCCGCCACCTGCGCACTTCTTTACACGGCCTCGCGAAACGCCTGCAGCTTTAATTACAGACTTTCCATTCTTGGATTAGCCCCGGGCCAGACCTTCATGTTATGTTGGATCCAATATAAATCAAGTTAGAACTTTTATGCTTCGATGTAATGTCTTGATATAATGAAGGCCACACTAACTTCACTGGTTACCGATTGATGTATACGCACATTCTGAGAGCTTCGACTTGTTCAAAGAGGGGCTCTGAAATCCTCAGAATTACAGATTCTAAAATTATGTTGCTTCAAAGGCGAAAAACAACTGTGCCTCGGCTTTATGATTAATATATAGTGTTTCAGCTTGTTCAAAGAGAGTCTACAAGGCCGTCGGAATATTGATTCATAAGTTCTGCTGCTTCAAAGGCACAAACCGCTCCTGTATCTGCTGCATGATTAGGAACAACTACTATCGGTGTTTAGTATTTGCTTTATGTTTAAGGCTGCTTAGAAAAAAATTGTGTAGCTGATGTGCTCTTCCACGTGTTCCTTGTATTGTGTTTGCCATGCATATTTGACTTTTTTTCCAAATTGAAGGAACGGCTAATAGCATGCCAGACTCATAATGATGCTTGACCCCGATCCACCTTTGACTGATTCCCCATTCCCACTAGGATAAAAATTGTCCGGATCAAGCCGAACTGATTCACTTTGAACCAGCTTCGAAGCAGAATCAAATAGAATCAATTCGGCTTGATCCGGAAATTTTTACCCTAGTGGGAATTGGCCCAGGCCTTAGTCTCCGACTTCCGCCACATCCCATGGCACTTGTAATAACAACTCACGTTTCAGCACCACACGCATAGCAGATGTATGGATGAGGAGTCCCATTACCATGCGGTGATTACAAACACGTGGATCGAAACGCTCATTAAAAAAAACTAACGACTCTCGGTGGCACATGTGCTGATGTTAACACATTGGCGCACCAAATCCGTAGTGTGCTTTTGTGCCAGATGTTTTTGGCACACAGATAGACTCGGGGGGGGGGGAAGTCGTGTACAGTGCTTTTCCCAAGAGCACATGTACAACGTCGGGCCATGGAGAAGATCAAACCCTGGACCTATTGGCTCGGAGTCCAACACTCTCACCGTTGTGCCACCGACGCTCATTATCCCAGTGGATGGGACATGATCATGACATGACAGGACATGACAGTACTTCATGTACTGAAACGGTAGCTATAGTAACGCGGCAGCGGCGGTCCGGCATTCTCTTCCGTCGTTTCCTTTATTATCATTATCATTGTATGGTCCGTCCTGACGTCAACAGGCCGTAACGTATCGTTACGGCTAACGACTTCCATTCATCCCATCCATAAAAGGTATAATCCACATCTAACTGCAAGTTGATTGATACGTTGCGCTGTATCCGGCATTTCGACGTTCTCAGTTCAGTTCAGGTCATCCTCAGACGAGCTCGAGGTGCGCTCCTCAAAGGTTTTTGCAGACCAATTTCCCACAGACTACAACGAAGGAGTATCGGTATATTCATCTGCCTCCTGCTCTTTTGAAATGGTTCTCTCATCATTCTAAGGGAAATTATTCCACGGCCGAAAACAATTTGTCTACAAAGACGAGTAGGTTTTAACAGACGTTTTCCCCGTGATGAGGTTTCTTACTCTGTCTGTCAACCATGATCCTGATGGACGGAATTTTATTGAAGTACCTGGCGGGCGGACGTAACTTGTTACAACCGCATATAAAATTACCATACAAAATTGCCTGATGAGCCATAAATGTCGTTATAGATTGAAAGGTTGGCAATTGAAAACATTTCAACCCAGTTTCTGCCATCTGTACATTTTTAACGTCTGATTTACAGACGCCCTTCTGCAATATCCGCGTACTGACTCTTTAAAACAGCTTATCCTTTTATATATTGGTACTTTAGTGGCATATCATCTATCACTGCCGTGATTGTCGACACATTCCAAATTCCGCAAGTAAAAGCATTATCACTATTGCCGGTGCGTGTTATCTGATTTCGATTTTCTGTTCGTGACCTCGAATCTTGGCCTGAGATCGTCAGGTTAAACATGCGTAATGCGGAAATCGTTTTCGATTTTGTGTCACTAACGCACCTATAGGCATCGGTCACAAGAATACAGTGTAACATCTGTAAGTTCAGCTGCCCGCATCGAAGGTTTTCTTTATCAAGAATAGTAGAGGTACTGCCAAGTTTATGTCGATTTGTCTGCCTGGGACGTGCCTTCAGGCCGGAGACCCGTCAGAAACTTTATAGGTTTTACAGTTTTATATGAGAATCAAGTATGAAAATTAGCAAATTACGGAAAATGTTTTCGATTTTTGACTGAGACCTTGAGTTGAGTATATGCCTCGAGGCTTCAGTCGATACCAAATGGTTAGACTTAGACATTGGTAAACATGGCGACGTCCCGCTGTAATGATTGCGGTCCCTTCCGGTAGCGTACATGTCCGGTAGCGTACAACAGCCGGGATTTGAACCCCCAACCTCTTGCTCTGGAGGCAGGGTTGCTAAGCAATGTTTTTTTTACCACGCACGCTACGTCCAACCACCGTGACAACTGCTACAAAATTACCAGACTTGTTATATTATATATGAACCACTCACAACCATATACATGCTCGCATATCGTTGTAGAGATTTCACATATCCAGATAGCTAGAGTAAATGATTGGTTCTTTATGATTACTTGTCTCTTTATACGTTTACCACTTTACCGTTATAATTGAATTTTAGCGAGCGATGACCGATACCAAGTGGAAAGTGTCGGGAAAACAGATATGAAAGTAGGCTCACTGCTTCGAGCCAGAAACTACCTCACTCCTGCAAGTATTCTGTATTTGTACAAATCCACCATCCGTCCTTGCATGGAGTATTGCTCGCATCTCTGGGCTGGTGCCCCAAAAGACTGCCTACATATTTTAGACCGTATTCAAAGGAGAATCTGTGTTGCCATCGGCCATTCTCTGGCCGAAAAGCTGGATTCCCTCACACACAGACGCAATGTCGCATCTCTATCCCTCTTCTACAGATACTTTCACGGTCGATGTTCAGGAGAACTTGCACTTCTTGTTCCTCCACTCAGAACCTTTCAGCGTGCCACTAGGTTCTCTTCCAGTTCTCATCAATACACCGTTAACATACCTGTCTCCAAGTCATATTACAACAACAGTTTCTTTCCCCGGACTGCAAAGTTATGGAACTCTCTTCCAAACAGTTGCTTTCCGTCCGATTACAATCTACAAAGCTTCAAAACAAAGGTCCACCGCCATCTCATGACATAGCTACAATATACTCCCCTAAGTACCTCTAGCTCTATGCCTAGAAGTGGCCAAATATAATTGGCCTTGCATTGAGCGATACCGTTAAAAAAAAAAAAAAAAAAAAGATACATTGGGCTCGTTCCTTTTGCTGAAAAAATGAGATCTGAAATGATCGAGTATGTGTCTGGTCACACTCGTCATACTGTCGTCGTACGGTTGTAAGCCGAGAGCATTATTGAGGAATAGTCGTGCGTGGGTCGTACAAAATTGTGTTGTCTTGTTAACGAAAATGGTGGCTAAGATCATTGCCGACCATTGGTTAATCACAGTCTACCTGGAATTTCTAAGACATAAAATTCATACGACCTACGATGAATGTGATCGCGCCGTGAAGTGAATCGGATTCCTACAGACTTCCAATCTTACTGCAAGCTGTTCGTAATCTACGTCTAAAACAAAATGCAAGAACGTATCGAAAGAGGCAAATTAAGTGCTGCTTTACATACCGATAACATACGGTTATAGCGTTGGACTCGGAACCAACATGTCCCGACGTTGTGCCCTTGGGAAAGGCACTTAACACGACTTCCCTCCGTGTGTGGTGGAGTGACGCCTACCGAGCCTCTTAGACTAATCTGTACACTAGCAAAAAGCACACTAGTCAAAAGCACACCACGGATTTGGTGGGCCTATGTGCTGCACATTTGCCACCGTTGTTAGATTCAGGGCGCTCCTGTAACACCCTTAGCAACCGACGACTTAACGTTCACTTCAAAGGTCCATTCCCTGCTAGTAGCATTACAACTCTGGCGATTTGATGAAGATTGATATGCACTGCGTGCTACGTGCACAGTAAGCCGTGTTTTTTTTTTTGTCTTTCAACTTTTCTTTTTAATCCCATGTACTTTGACAGAAAAGGTAGCAAGGACAAAGCCTGCTGGTTACATAAACATCCTCTCGTGTTTGTGTTCTAGCTGATGAGGCTTTAGACAAGCCTTGGCCCTGGATTTCCTACTTCTACACATTTGCCACCGTGAGACGTAAAAAAAAAGATATTTACATACCGACGAAGATGAGCGCGTAGACGGCTGTCAGCAGGACCAGCTCGACCTGCGGGATGGTGAATAACAACGTGGAGTTGTACCCGGGAGGGAGCGCCGTCCCCGCCGTGCAGTTGTCGTACAGGAACGCCTCCCCAAAGGTCGGGTAGACGGGCTCGCCTCGCTCCGTGCCGTTGACGTGGCGCATGGCGGCGGGCTGTGTGTCAGACCTGGGGCGGAGAACTAGCGTGATGCTCCTCTCTGTTCAATCAACTCTCTACAGAGAAAGCGATCACAAAACTGTCGACTTATCCACCGGGCAACCGGTAAAGTACCACTCGAAGACGACAGGGCCTAGACCAATCAGCTCACGGCGTGATCTGGACTTCTTGGCGCATGCGCCTCGTTTGCAGCATCTCGTTGGTGAGAGTAGCTCGTTCCCACGGGAAAGTAGTTCCGTTCTGAGGAGGCTTGTTTACCGCTAACCGAGCCGCAGGCCCAACTTCTCATCTCTATGACGCGCACGTATACATGTAATAACCACTCACTTTTCAGCACCACGCGCTAAGACGTTTGACAGTGCTGAGGGGGCTAGTTCTCAACGTGCCTGGGAAGCTGGTGTGTTACGCCGAAGGCGATTATACCGGCTGTAGATACAGAAACTGGTGTGTTCCGCCGAAGGGCTATTAATTATACCGGCTATACAGATACAGAAGCTGGTGTGTTACGCCAAAGGGCTATTATACCGGCTATACAGATACAGAAACTGGTGTGTTGCGCCAAGTGGCGGTTATACCGGCTATACAGATACAAAAGTCATTGTGTTTCGCAGAAGGGCGGTGTGTTATAAGTGAGTTATACAGAAACAGGCACAAAGTAAGTTACAGAGTAAAGAGGCTCTTTCTACACAACCAAGTCTTTTATTCAGCCGACGTTTCATTGACCGCCTGTCACCTTCCTCATGGCAATTCTGACTGGTTCAGAATCACCCTGAGGAAAGTGACAGACGGTCACCGAAACGTTGCTGAATGAAAGACTTGGTTGTGTAGAAAGAGTCGCTTTACTCAGCGACTTACCAACCAGATGAAACTATTCACGGAAAGTAAGTTATATCGGCTATACAGGTACAGAGTGGGTTATACCTTCCATACAGGTACAAAGTGAGTTATACTGGCTAATATACAGATACAGAGTGAGTACAGGGCTTAAATAAAGACCGCTCCAAGCTTGCAAGCTAATGATAAGGTACTTTACATAAATACCGACATGTTGCGGCATGTATGTACGCGTGATATGGTAGAGATCATTAGCGGCATTAACGACTGTCTGTACGTCACCTAACATCCGAGCATTTCAGCAAAGCAGATAAAACTTTAGTTGTCACCAAAGTGAAAAAAAAAAGAATTCGAAGGCACAGTATTTAACGAAAATGATAACACTTTACCGTTTGTAAGTACTTGATACTTTATTCGGATATCCATTAGCATGTCCAGATCGCGAGATATCAAAACCGGAAGTTCTGCTGCAGTACCAACAAAAGCCGCCAGGGGGCCCAGAATCTAATCATTTCTAGGTCTCATCAAGACCTACCCACCTACCAAGTTTCATGACAATGCATATTAAGCTTCTTGAGTTATGCTGTTCACAAACGGACAGACGGGCGGACAGACGGACAGACAAACGCTACTAAAACATAACCTTCTTTAGCGAAGGTAAAAACGACATTCAACTTTTACACAGTTTCAATAAACGACATTCACCTTTTACGCAGTTTCAATAAAAGAATTACACCAAGCTTGCGACGCGTCAAGGATTATCAGGCATAGCTTATTCCCGTACGGGCAGGCTTACCCGTTTCTTTCTGACCCGTCCAGGGACTGATTCCACCTCTTATATGGGTCCCGTGAGTTTCTTTTAATACTGTTATTTCCGATTGGCACCCGGCCAAGTTTGAAGAGATAAGCAATTAGCAAACGCGATTCGCAGGGGGGGTAGTCAGTGAGCTGGGAAGAGATGTAATGATGTTGGCGTGTGCACATCGTGGTGGTTGACGAATCTTTTATCAATAAAGATTAGTTAGATTCAGAGCCCTCCTGTAACACCCTTAGCAACCGAGGGCTTAACGTTCACTTCAAAGGTGCAAATGTGCCCATACTCTGCCAGTAGCATTACAACTACTGTGAATTGACGAAGATTGATATGCACTGCGTGCTACGTGCATAATAAGCTGTGTTTCTTTCTTTGTATTTTACTTTATCTGTGTTTGTATTTTAAGCCCATGTACTTTGATAGATAAGTTAGCATGGGAGAAGCCTGGTTATATGACAGTCTCTCGTGTTTGTGTTCTGGTGAGGCTTTAGACAGTACTTGGACTTGGGTTCCATATTTCAGTGTTGTTACAGAGGGATTATAACAGTCAAACTTATTCCTGGCCATGTAGATATTCTTACTATATTCTATACCATACGTTAACACTCAGATACATGTGTTGAGGCGTACATGTAGTAATAAGAGGTCGCTCGGTCGGGCGAGCTTGCCCCCATATTAAAGACCACGCACGGAAACATCGTTTTATGCCCCTTGCCCTTTTCTTCTTGCGACCCAGTACGTGTTCTAGCCAGCGTCCGTCTTTCTACCATTTGACCGAATTTTTTTATCTCAAGACAGAAAAAACCGTTTGCCAAACTTTTGAAATTAGTGTGATGATCAAAACATCCTGTGTGCTACATACTTGTTTTCAACTTCTATGCCTAGAGACACCGCCTCTGAGGCGCGCTTCTTTCCAAACATGGTGCTGCCGAAGCTGTCTGACGCCAGAGACCACGTCTCTCTCTCACGACTGCCTGGACTCCTGCTGTTAGAACGCTGAAACCGGCGCCTCATGCAGTTAGTCTGATTGACACAATATTGACACCACGGCATCTATAATGTTACATCACAGGTGTGTTGTCGCCACATCCTGTACCCACCGCTACCACAGACCCCGCCCCCGGAGTTGTAATTCTTCAATGACGCGAGTTAGCCTGGCAACTATTGTACTCTTGCCAAGATCGCCCATCAGTAGCAATTAGCACCCGGGAACATTGAATTACCGCTGTGATTGATGGGATGATTGGAAAGATGAAAACGCCAGGGGGCAGAAACGAAGCACACGTATTTTTTGCCTTGCACCAAAAAAAATCAAGACAAAAACTTTTTAACGTGCAGTGACCGGTTATCAACATTTTCGATCTCTTCATCTGCTAGGAAATTGAAACACATGTACTCTTCTGCCATGAACTGAAAAACAAGACAAAACATATTAACGGTGCAGTGACCGGTAATAACATCCTCTTCATCTGCTAAGAAATTAATAAGAACGGCCCTGGCGACTTTTATATGCTCCATTCTAGTGTATTGAATACCCCTATAATTGTCGAGCACTGTTTCTTAACATGATAAATTATTGGGCTGAGCATGTGTTTCAGATGCAGTGAGTGTCATTTTGCGAAAGAGAAACTATAAACATAATTTTGCTATCAAAAACATGACTTGTGGTATTGCTACACTGGTAAGGCTAACTCGTGGAAAAACTTGTGGTGAGGCCACACCAACGTGATTATATGGATGACGTCCACGCGCATCAATTTGCAAAACTGATCAGTAGCAATTAGCACCCGGGAACATTGAATTACCGCTCCTGTTGACGGTATGATTGGCAAGATGAAGACGCTACGTATTTTTTTTTTTTTTGCCTTGAGGTAGAAAGCACAAAAACACCTATTGATGTGCTAATTGGAAAGATGAAAACGCCGGGGGGCAAAAACGAAGCGCACGTATTTTATTTCCTTTTGACGTAAAAAAACAAGTCACTTTAAACATGTTAACGTGCAGTGACCTATAGTAACATCCCCGAGCCCGTCATCTGCTAGGAAATTGAAACACATGTACTCTTTTACCATGTACTGAAAAACAAGACAAAAACTTTTTAACGTGCAGTGACCGGTATTAACATCCCCGATCGCTTCATCTGCTGGAAAATTAACAAGAACGGTCCTGGCGACTTTCATATGCTCCATTCTAGTTTACTGAATACCCCTATAATTGTCGAGCACTGTTTCGTAACATGATGAATTATTGGGCTGCGCATGTTTTTCAGATGCAGTGAGTGTCATTTTGTGAAAGAGAAACAAAACATGATTTTGCTATCCAAAACAAGACTGGTAGGGCTAATTCGTGGTCAAACGTGGTAAGGCCACATTGACATAATTATATGGATGGCATTCGCACGCATCAATTTTCAAAATATAACGGATTCAACATATGACGTGTCGGTCGCCAGAGAACGTACCTAACCGAAGCTAGGGACTCATTGGACTCATTTTCACCTGAGTCGAGTGGAGGAAATTAGTGTGAAGTACCTTTTAGAAAGGGCACAACAGCGGGACCTGCTATATAGGGATTTGAACTAAGAACCTCTTGATTCTAAGTTAGCAACGCTAACCTCAATAATACATTACAATCTATAACGAGTAACGGTGAATAAACACAAGCAAAATGTTTGACTTTTCCTTGTGCTTCAACTTTACCACCAGACCTTGATAATCTAGTCTTACATTGTATATTAGCAGAGGTATTGATATATAAAATATCTTTCAGATTAATTACCCACTTCTTATATCTTGAAACTCGATCTCTTAGTGCTATACATAATCGATTCGCCAATCTATTACGTGGTTTTGGAGAAAATCAACATCGCCGTTGTAGATTTTGAGCTCGCAAGACGTGAGTTTGGATAACGTACCACAACGGAGCTGGCTGGCAACACAGACAAGATCAGTCGTTTTCATTTAGCCACGTTAGTTACCTCAGGCTATATTTGAAAAATATTTGTGGTTGATACAAAAGTGTTATAAATATTAATGGTCACAAAAATTGCATGTCAGGTCCGTGAAAAACAGGTGGTCTAACGGTGATGGTTTTTATGGATTTGACATACAATATAGTCAAATCTATGGAAAACAAAGATGGATTGAAAGCGGCTGACCTTATATATAATGGCTTTTTATAATATTTCGCGGTTTACAATGACAATGACAATAAAGTTTATTGTATCCTGTCAAGTTATATTGAGTTAGTAACTGTTACGAATATTGAAATAAACGTAACGTTACATTTATATGGCACCTGCCGTGGGAAATAAAATACTTCACGTACACTCTCATAAAT